TGTGTGTGTGTGTGTGTGTGTGTGTGTGTGTGTGTGTGTGTGTGAGACTCGTAAAAAGAGAAAGGCTTTAATGAAAAACTCCAGATCCCATCATGCACTGCTGCTGATTCTTTAGATCAGAACAGGAAGTGGAACTGTTGGTTCTGCTTCTTCTGAGTGGCTCCTGTCTCTGTAAGCCCCGCCTCCTAACAGCTACCAGCTGCTGTGATTGGATAAACCAACATGTGGCTGATTGACAGGATGACCTGCAGCAAGATTTTCTGATTGGTTCTGATTGGACCTCAGTCTGATTGGTTCTGATTGGTTCTGATTGGACCTCGTTGTCAGATGGTTCTGATCGGGGCAGAGGTGTGGAACTTGTTGATCCAGTTTGTGTTTGTCTTGGGGGTGTGTCCAGCAGGATGTCCTCCTGCCTCACCTTCTGTCTCACCTGTAGACCCGCCCACTGTCCTCCAGGTCCAAACCTTCAGTCTGTGGTTCTGAGTCACATCTGGACCCAGTTGCTGTTCCTTTAGTCCCAGTTCTCGTTGGGTCATGGTTCTGCTGGGACTCTTTCAGGTGATGGACGCTGAGAGCGGAGAGATGATCCCTGGAGGCGTGGCCTCAGGAGGCGTGGCCTCAGGAGGCGTGGCCTCAGGAGGCAGCTGGCAGCTGGACGCTGCGTTCTTCATCAGGCCAGAAAAACCCCTGCAGGACTGGGTGGTGGACCCCGAGTCTGTAAGATTTATTTTGTTTTTATTGCATTTTACTGTGTTCATTTTAAAAACAAAACAAGTTTATACAATAAAAACATTAAAAACCCAATAAAATGACAGACAGCAGAAGAAGAAATCAGACCATCCAGATCCCAGGATCAGAGACGTCCAGAGTCCTGCTGCCGAGTCAGAACACAATCATCCCAACAGAAAGGAACCGGGTCGAAGGAACTGACCCGGGTTTTGATCCAGATGACTACTCTGTAACTCCGGTCCAGAAGACCACCCTGAGGCTCCAGTCCAGGAGACCGCCCTGAGGCTCCGGTCCAGAAGACCACCCTGAGGCTCCGGTCCAGAAGACCACCCTGAGGCTCCGGTCCAGAAGACCACCCTGAGGCTCCG